AAAGTTTCTGCAGGAAAATTACTAACTCGGCAACCAGAAGAGCTAGAAGGCTGAAATTTCAGGCAGGAGTTCCCTGTCCATATGTAATTTAAAAATGTCAAATTCAGCTTTTCAAGCACTCGGAGTACCCAAGCGCGGGTATGTGAATGTTTTGGCGGGGAAATTGCTAACTCGGTAACCAGAAAAGCTGGAAAGCTGAAATTTTAAAGGAATGTTCCCTATCCAAGTACAACGCAAATATTTTAAATTCAGCCCCAAGCTATGCGTGGTACATACGCAAAGGCGTAAGAAAGTCTGTGCGGGAAAATTTTAATCCGAGAATCAGAAAAGCTGGAAAGTTGAAGTTTTAGAGGAAGTTCCCTGTCCAACTACAACTTAAGTAGTTCAAATTCATCCTTGAGGTATGGGTGGTTCTTAATTACGGGCACTTAAGTCTTGATGAAAAAATTTCTCACTGAACAATTAGATTACTTTTAAAGAACGACTGTTAAATGGAAATTATACATTACTTTGCAAAATTTATGGTGATTTATGCTAGTGACCACAAAAGGTAGGTGTAAAGCAACAGCCATTCATACAGTTAATGACCTGAGTAACTAAAGTCCGGTGCAAAAATGCATGGTCGCACGGGTCCGCCTGGTGCGTTCCAGCCTGGGTTTTCATCTGTGCAATGCAAAAACGCATTGTAGATGGGTTTTCTGGTGTGCGAGTGCCTGTGTGTGAGTCTGAACCGAGATTTTATCTCGCGATCTACAAAAGCTACGACTTTGAAACTGTGGCAGTTTAATCTAACACAGTGCAGGTTGCTATCCTCGAAATAGACGCTCACTTTTACGTGGTTCTCACACGCGGGCATGTGAAAGCTTTTTGGCGATGAAGCGCTTTCAGGGCTGTTGCAAGCCGGAAGGCTGAAACTTCATAGAGACGTTCCATGGACACATCTAAACCAACAAGCTGCTGAATAGCACTCAAGCAGTGCTAAGCTCCCATGCGGAGGGGTCAGAAAAACATAATTGGCCAACGCACGGGCTGTCAGGGCGAAGATGCGTTTCTTGCATAGATTCC